TACTTGAATGTGCAACTTTTCGGACAGGGTTAAACGAAACAAATAAAAAGTAAATTCTCCGTCGGCGATGAATACACTGAAAGGAATATGAAAAGAAAAGACTGAAAAAGTCGCACCTCCCCACTGTGCCGCGAAGTTAAACAAGACACTTACTTATAAAATTTTCTGCTCCGGCTTCAAGTAAAAATTACACGCTTCTCTAACAGCCCAAAGATGCTGTTAAGTAATTGCTTAACTTTCCAGGCAGAGTTATGCGAAACCAATCGATCTATAAAGGAAGATTTCCAGTTGGCAGTGACTCGAGTAAGTAAACTAAAAATTAAAAGAAATCGCACCTCCTTTGTACTGGCCCGCGAAGTTTAAAACACGGCTCAATGCCCCCACACTTACTGATAAAATTAATTGCTCTCCGTAAGTAAAAACCACACGAAGTCGTTTCTAAGTTATCGCACATGAAAGTGCTGTATAATGCGCAACTGTTCGTGAAGTAAAAAGACCACACCTGTTTAATCAAAGTGTGTTGGCGCAAAAAGAGAAAGCCGGTTGTTTGAGAACGTATTCTCGCTCGCTTGGATAACCAGGACTAGAATCTTCGAAGTAACGACATAAAAGTATCGGGAGAAGTCTAGCCAGTCTACGCATGCGGCGGGTTAATATAAAAAATAAAAGCAATGATGGAACTAAAAGATCAAGTTTTCAGTTCACTGCCTCAAAAACTTACAATTTGTGGACGTCTTTAGAAGAATAGCTCTCTATAGCTCCTCTGACTATTCCCGTCGGTACCCTAGTGAAATTCCATTCTTGACAGATCAATTAGCACTCCCCACCCTCCGTGGTACACAAGTTTTTCATGACATAGGTTTCCGATTATTCAAACAAGCTTCGGGTCGGTCTGGGAAGGTGTCACCTCGAACAAAGGAACTATTGTTTTAAGTTTAATGGGCAAATTCAGGTCGGTACAATAGACCATTTCTTGATAGGATAAAGCTTGGCTGTTATACTTTGAATAGCAAGTTTTACATCCGATAAAAGTGTCATCAATGTATTACCATGAAAGTTCTTTTGATCAATTCTGCAGCCCACGCAATCGATCGAAGCAAGACTGAACCACTCTAGAATAAGGTGCACTTGGGGTTGATACGTGCGAGTATAGCAACCTCATTTGCCAGATGAAAGTTTTGTTTTCAAGCTTAACAACAATAAACAATTCCACGGAACAAATGCGACGGCTATACACAAATCCACCTTTTATGTTAAGCTCATTGACTGGCTATAGACAATATCATTCATGTACCACTGATATAAATTATTTTAGAATACTTACACGCAAAGTTTCACAGCGTTTCGTTCTTACGCAGGCCTGGCGATCGAAACATCAGCTTTTCAGTCACTCTGGTAAATTGAATTTATGAAAGCAATTTTTTTTGTTTCACTTTCCCACAGGCGAAGAGCTTCAGTTTCTTTTGAAGGCAACCGGACCTTTTATTGAATACATTATACCCCAGACGTAGTTAATCGATAAAAATCGGTATCGGAAATCAGTCGATATCATCGATATTAATCGATTTAATCCGCCATTAATATCGATTGATATCGGAAATCGATAGAAATCGAAGTCACAGAAAAAATAATTTATCGATTAACAAAATCGGCAACAATCGATAGCAATCCATAGTAATCGATAAAGCGATAATAGAATATAGTGGAATGGTTATGAAACCCGTCAGACTCCTTTGTTATATGTTTTTGTGGACCTGAAAGTGCACAACGTTCAAAAAATTCCTATCATTTTGATTGTATTGACCAATAAAACCGTTGCATTAATTTATTCCGTAACAATTTGCCTTGTTCCCTTCCCTTTCAAACGCCTGCCACGCAGGCTAGTTTTTTTGATATCCCAAATAATCAAGGTCTCGGTACCTCGACCTTGATTATTCCGGATATCACAAAAAAACCTCATCCAATAATTGTTTAAAATATTACATAAACGAGCAGTTAACAAAATCAACACCTTTTAAAACGAGACTGTGCAAGAGCACAGTTCAATAAACACATGAGAGACTGAATCGAAAACTGGTTTTGAGATTCATATCGAGGCCATAAAATTAATTAAACAATGTTTAGGCCTGGCTCGGCAGCTTCAGCCCAAAATTCGATAAACTCCAGTACTGATAAAAGAGTGTGCTAGTCATTTTAGTTTCTTCCTTCCTTCTGCTAATTTATTGTTAGTTAATCT